GCTCCCTCTGCTGGAGAGACGGATATTAATTTAAAGAGACAATATGATTTTGAACTCTGGAAAGCAATGTGTATATTTTATTTCTCAAACTCAAGAAGTGGCTCAGTAAGTAAATGTAGTGGCATCTAGAGAGGTAGAAATGAAGCACATTTAGTAAGGCACATTTTATTTTAAAGGCTAAAATAAAAAGATGCACTTCTGGAAAATGTTAACTGGAGAATGAAGATTTAAATGTTTGTTTCTAAAGCTGCTTTTAATATTTATTGTACAGGTTCACTTCCTAGAATTACCAGTCTATTTCTAAAGATAGAATGACTGTTTTGTATTCCTTTATAGATGGTGTGGACTCTTGAGTATTATATTTGTAACATCAGTACTCAAGGAAATAAAATGAGATCTTGTGTAATTTTTAGGATTTAGGATATTTTTATTCTTCTGGTTTTTTTGGGGGGGGTAGTAATTAGATTTATTTATTTATTTTTTAATGGAGTTACTGGGGATTGAACACCTGGACCTCCTGCATGCTAGGCGTGCCCTCTACCACTGAGCTACACCCTCCCCCCATCTTCTCCTTGTTACTCAAGTAATCTTTAATCATATTTTCTGAATCAATTATTGTGAAAGTGTACTATCAAGTCTGACAGTATATCAGCTTATAGATATAATAACAGTAATAATAGTTAACATTTATTGTGCCCTAAGTACTAAGAATTCTGCTTAATTCTTTATGCCAATTATTTTGTCGTGTCGTTTCTCAAGTTTGTGAGGGTTGGTATCAAAACTAGAGTTGACTTTCTGTAGAGGTTGGCATAGATGATTGTGGGGATAAGATACTGTCCTGAAAAGAAGGGGACTGGTTTGGATTTGGTGAACTACTTAGTAGTGGCCTCCTTCACCTGTTGGACTCCTCAAATTCTGAGAACCAGATTTACACCATCCTAGGCAGGATGTCAGAAGACTCCTTTTTAGAGAACTGACTAGTGCAAAAAACAAGACCTACAGATGCTGACATTTCAGGTTCCCTCAATGAAAAACAGCTCTGTCTTTTCACCCCATTTTGAAGTTTACCAGTAATAACCACTCCCACCCGTACACACCCTGTAAGCATGAATTCAGGCAGAATCATCAAATTTCCAAGAAAACTTTTAATATGAAAGACTGGGACCAAAATAAATGAAGTAAAAAAACCAAAAACAAAACAGAATCTAGCCCCATTTTACAGATGGAGAAACTGAGGTCTAATACATAAGGAACTTGTCTAATTTCAAACATCTAATAAATGGCCAAGCCAGGAGTTTAAACCAGATTGTCTGATTCCAGACTGGAGCTGACACCCGTAATCATTATAAGAAGGTCTGAATGATGTCTAGAGAGAATTGTCACCTGCAAATTGAATGACTGTTTTTAAACCAATAAATATCTATATACGTTACTACAAAGCTGCCATTTCTTCCTGCCAGGCATTGTGTAAATACAAGTAGCAGTAAAATGCAAGTGTGCGGGGGCACTCCTTGCTCTCTTGGACTGGAGCAGAGAAGACAACCTGACGAGGCTGGATGGGAAATGGCATGAGGGACTTCTTGGTTAAGAGGTTACATTTCAGCGGCGATTCTCTAGGTCAAAAGGTCAACATTTTCTCATCGTTGAAATGGATGTGCCTCTTGCAAGGAAGTCATAATAATAAATTTGAAAAGATCTGCATGATGCGCTGAGCCTTACAACGTGGGATAATATGCTCTATAAATACTCAGTAAAAAACCTATCAGCCCAGAAGCCGACTTGATGTGTAGCTATACTCTTGTGCATCACATATGGTAATGGAATAGAAAATTACCTGGAAAAAAATCTTTTTACACTGTTAGAAGAATCAATTCAATGCCCTAAAGCTGAAGAATTTTGAATTAGAGCGTTAACACCTTATTTAATGGTTTGAATACTGACTTCTCACCAATTTAAAGGAAATGTAATAATGCATCTGCTGCTTTTTGATGATATAGTCAAACTGTAATGCAGGACCACTGAATCCAGTGCTACATGAATGAGTCAATACTTTCTAAAAATCTTAGCTGATGATTGCTGACTAATTGATGGATATGACCAATTATGTATCTGATTCTGAATGACTTATACACCTGCTAAACTGAGTAAAAACAATGGTATGGAAATTTTAATTGTGACCATGCAACACATAGTTTAAGATGTAGAAACTATGATAGTTAAATCGATTAATTAGTGAATCATAAGCCAATTGAGGTCTATACTTTTAACATTCGCAGGGTAACAAAAAAAATGTCCAGTAAATTTTGTACTCTGTATACATCCTTAAAAACATAAAACCAATTCCTCAACCAGAACATAGTAATTCTATTTCTAATACCAAAAAAATCTCCAACAAAGTGTGATAACATTGCACAGAAAAATCTCTTTTGGAGAAATTGCACTGGCAGTATTAAGACTCCTTCAAATGGCCCAATGAGCATCAGATATATCTGTCACATCAATTCAGGAAACTAGAGCTAAAAACAAGATAAAAATAGTTCTTGCCACATTGTTGCAGAAAGGGTTGTTTTACAGGACACAAGAGGCATGTCCAGGGCCATGGAGAAAATTATGTGTGGGGAGTATTTCAAAAGTCCCATAATAAGGCTGTTGTCAGAGGCAAAACAACCTGTATTCTATTAATATGGTTTTATTTTTATTTTACAGTCCGTGTGGCCTGAGGAAATACAAGTGTATTTGTACACATTATGTTGCACATGAGAAAATGAGACCCAAGGAGGTTGTAACTTTTTCAATAATGTCACCAGTCTTATTGGTAAAAATAAACTGTAAATACTAGTTTAGAAAAAACATTCTTTAATATAGTGGATATCATAGTTGAGAAAGATCTGGTGTTACAGATGTCAGATCAACTCAAAGAGGCTATGTCTGTGAAGAAGGAATAAACCAAGAACCGATTAAATAAATTATGGTGCAGCCATACAATGGAATAGTATGCAGCTATTAAAAAGAATATAGCAGGTATATTCAAAAACACTATAGCTAAATCAAAGTGGAATTCAAGAATATGTTCAGATAAGCCATAGGAAGACAGGAAAAAGAAAAGAGAAAATAAACAAAACAAAAATTAAAATAAAATGGAAGACTTAAACCCTAAAATATCAATAATTTCATTAAATATAAATGATCTAAACACATATTAAAAAGCAGAGTTTGACAGTGAATAAAAATTATCAGACTACATTCTGTCCATAAGACAGTTACTTCAAATATAATGAGATAGGTAGACTGAAAGTAAAGCAATGGGAAAATATATACCATGCAAACATTAATCAAAAGGAAGCAGGAGTGGCTATATTATTATTATTAGCACATGTAAGGGAAGGTATATTGTGTATTTGGGTTATAGAGTGGAAGGGAAGATATTTTAAGACCCTTCCCCTACTTAATAAGAGTATTTTATTTTAGCTCTCTTGCCTGTTGGCCTCTCATGTAATGTTTTATGACATAAAAAGGTTGGAGTGTCTTTGATTTTACTAAAACCACTCCCCCCACTTTTTTTTTTTAAGCAGATGAGGAAAATGAGGCCCTGAGGTATGATGTGAAGTGACTTTTGCTACACTAAAAAAATTTGGTTTCCAGGCTTCAGTACTCAATTAGTTTTGTGTAACAAATTAACAAGTTGCCACTGACTTAGTGGTTAAAGCAATGCACATTTTTCCAAAGTATCTTTGGGCAGAAGTTCAGGGATGGCTTAGCTGGGTCCTCTGCAAGGCTGTATTCTCATCTGGAGGCTCAACTGGAGATAGGTCAGCTTTCAAGGTCACTTGGATTATGGCAAAATTCATTTCTCTATAGAAGTAGGATTCAGGTCAGCTTGCTTCTTCAAAGCCAGTAATGGACAGAGAGGGACCCCAGCAAGGCAGAGGCTACATTCTTATGTCACCGTGTATATCCCATCACCTTTCTTATATTCCATCGGGTAGAAGCAAATCACAGTTTCCGCCCACACCTGGGGAAGAGGATTACACAAAGGCACAAAGATCTGAAGGTATGATCCCAGAAGCCATCTTCAAATCTGTCCCCTACCAGTACAATACTGTTTCACCTCCCAAAATATTAGTAGGCAAGAAGGGTACTCAGTAGTTTTAACATCTAATTAAAAAAAAAAAAACTTCCTTTTTACTCCACTCCCTTGAACCTGGATTGGGCTTAGTATTTTATTTCTAACACACAGAAGATGGTGGAAGTTGATGGTGTGTGACTTCCATGAGAGAAGGCACCGAGATCTTCTCTCTGCTCTCTTTCGTGGATTACTCACTCTGGGGGAAACCAGCTGCCGTGTCACAAGGACATGAAAGCAGACCTGTGGAGTGGTCCACGTGGCAAAGAACTGAAGAACCTGTCAAGAACCAGAAAGGCATTTTTGCCAACAACTACGTGAGAGCTGGCCTGCTGACAGCTCTGTGGGTCAGCCACTTCCAAAGAGAATTCTCAGGCCCCAGTCAAGCTCTTAGATTTCTTTACCCCTGAGAGAGGCAGAGGCAGAGGCAGACCACTCAGCTGAGTCACCCCCCAAATTCCCGACCCACCAAAATCGTGAGAACCATACATTCTATTACTTTGACTTACTACATTTGGGGGTGATCTGTTACTCAGTAATAGATAATTAAAATACACACAGAGTGCTTTATTGTCTGGTTTTATATCCATCAAGGAACCTCCCTACTGTAAGCTCTGTTTCTGATAGATTTTTTTTATATATTTCTGAAAATCCTCCGGAAGTCGTTCGTTTATTTTTCCCTGTCAAGTGTCACGAACCCAAGACAGAAATGTCCACTTCTGTTTGCATCTAAGAATTGTTTGTAGAAAAAAACTGAAATGTCCACGCTATGTCCTAAAGCATTGATTGAAGGAGTAATTTTCCCTGGAAAGGGCTGTGCTTTTGTTAACATTCAAATCTCAGCGCTGACTTAAACCTTTCCCATTCCGTATTCCAGGGAGTGTGTCCTGCAGAGAGACGTTCCAAATATAAAGTAAGAAAGATGAGGACTCCTGTTCTTGGACTGTTCCAGGTGAGTGAAGCCCCAGCATCGGAGCAAATGAATTTGCTCAAAGGCTTTCCTCAGACAAAACAGTCAAAAGATCAAATCTTCATAGGGGACTGTAACCCTAACGGACTTTAAAAAAGTGAGGTGCTCTTAAAGAAAAGCTTGTGGCTTATCCCTGCCTCCAGCTGTGAGCACAGGAGCAAAGCAACAGAGAAGTTCATAGATTGGACTGGTTTTCTTAATGGGACTGAAATAATCTGGATGAAGTGAAAAAGAAACTCTCTTGATTGAGGCTGAAGTTAAAGCAGTTTTTTTTTTTTTTGCGCTTATCAAAATAACTAGCTTTACAATTGGATGTCAGCTCTGGGTAGCAATCATTCCTCATTACTCTGATCCTCCTTGTGTTTTTTTTTTTTTAAATCTGCTCTGCATTTCACTTTTATAGGTAGGAGCTGATTAAGCCATGGTAGAATACTTACACTTCTCTACTTAAAAAATTATTCCATAATGCTTTTTTCCCCCCAATGCATCCATTTCACAAGTAGCCTTATTACTTTTCCTTTGGCAGTGGTGTTTCAGTGGTCAAACTGAAGTCAACTAATGTATATTCCACGGTAGGAGGAGGAAAATGCCTATTGGCTTAATTTAATCCGTATTAAATTGTGATATTTGTGCCTTAAACGGGTAAATTTACCAAGGTTTAATTTATGAAGTGTCCTGAAGCAGGTAAACAACAGCATGAGACCTGATGTATCAGAGGTGGAAGTATAATGAGATCAGTAGGTAAGTCCTCCGTAAAATTACGTGGGGCGTAGGAGAATCCAGACACAGCAATTACACTGAGCAAGGAGAAGCAGTCCTGGAGACCGTGAAGTAATTAGTCAGATTTACAATCTCAGAGGAGAGAAGGGAAAATTACTTAGGTTAAACGCAGAAGCATCTTAAATCATCATTACACTGTATTGATCTCAGTTGAAGTGACTGGTTAGAAATGCTTGGTTTATCTTTACCATTATATATTGCCATAGTGTTTGACTAACACCAAGAATATATAGCTCGGCATTTGAACGATAGTAAATTATAAGCACGTAGGCTTTTGCAATGCGTGCATGTCTTTTGGAGGAAGAGCCTTAGAACATTTAGGAGAGTCGATGTTGATCTATAAGCTAGCTGTATTTTTTAACATTCCTGCCAATACACCGAAGTAAAGGGTGGGCAAATACATTGATAAAGAATGAAGTGTACATGGCAGTGGTTTTAAGTGAGAAACAGTCTGAACTAGGTTAACTAGTTTGACATCAAAGCATGTCATTGTCTGTTTACTTATTGGTCTTGATTGTTTCTGACCAAGTTTATTTTTTTAAAGATTTAATGCCTCTAAAATAATATAAAAGAGATTTTGGAATATGTACTCCTATATTGAAATATCTACTGTATAGTCAGTAGAACAACTGAGAAATGTCTTCTACTGATTTGTAAGAACAGACTTTTAAAATGTCAGACGGTTCGTAGGAGAGACATCTGACCTATCCGATTAAAACTTGGGGTTTGGGAGAGGAACATAAAATCACCCTGGTTTGCCAGTGAACTCTACACTTGAATTTGTCTTAGCACCATTTGGAAAATTAAGTACTTAAATATCATCTGCATATTTTTAGCAATGGGCTAAAAATTAGAGATAGTCATTTTCAGAAGGAGAGGAATAGGCCAGTCATTAATTCTACCAAGTTAAGACATGTCTTAAAGAGAAAAGAGGGGAAAAAAAGAACAAGATGGTCCTAACAGTATCAGTAGGCAGATGGAGTGGACTGTGTGTGTGTGTCTGTGTGTGTGTGTCTGTGTCTGTGTTTGTTTACATGCACTTTTGTTAAGATCTGAGTTATCAGAATAGGTTAAGCATATACACATACACAGAGAGGCCAGAATGACCAAAGCTATAGACTGCCTGAATTTCCCTTCCTAGACTTAACCGTTGAAATCCTTCTGTAAGAGAAGGGAGGTAACTAGTACTTGAACTGTCCCAGAGGCTGTGATGGTAGCTTTTTACACATTAGTTAATTGAAACCTGAGCAACTCCTACATGATGCAGCTTCCTACTTACCAGAACAATCAGTCCTTCTAACACGGGGTTTGGGAAAACAACAGGGTGAAAGTAAGGGAAGTGTTTATTGACCCCAACATGGGCGCAAGGACTACATGCGCTAATCCCGTAGGTGTAAGGAGATTGATTCTAAGAAGCCACAGTCCCTATGGAATATCTCTCTCCCTTCACCATTTCCCATAAAGTGAATGGTTTTTCCTTTCCCAGGGGTAGGAAAGCCTGAGTTTGAAAAACTTTCAAAATTTAGTTCTTCATATTGCTAAAGGTAGACACTAGGGTTTCCACCTTTTTGTTTGGTATTTTTTGTATTCACATTTGGGAAACACTTTAATGAGTCTTCATTTATGCAGATAGAAGGTATCAGAAACAATAAGAAAAATGCAAAGCCATCTTTTTTACACATATTGATGCAAAAATCCTTAAAGTTAGCTAATAGCATCCAGTAGCAAATGAAAAACAATACATCATCACCAAGTAAGCTTCCTTCTAGACTATCTAAGAATGGTTCAATTTTAGGCAGCTTTTTACCATATTAACAGACCAAATGTGAACCCAAAAGATGATTGTCCCATGGACGTTGAGATAGCTTCATATAAAACTCAACACCCATTCTTCGTGCTGTTCTGGGTATATTGTATTTGCTCTTCCTGATCATTCTTCACCCTGCTCTATGCCCCAGGAGGCTGGCCTGTGTGAATTCCATCAAAGGACTGTTCTCTGGGGTCTAGCTGGGTTCAGGAGGAGATCATGGAGTGAGCAGAGAGTGAGGTCAGAATATTTAGTTCCTGTTTCCTTCTCTGAAGTATTGCTTCTAGCTAATTGTGTCCCGGCGTGGGGTTGCGGGGGATGTCACTAAAGTTGGCTTTTCTACATGACTCTCTCCCTCTGAGTTCTGGTCAATGCTTACATCCCTTGTCCCTTCTACCTTGGAATAATCCCAGGTTTACCTTTGAGGTTCCTTGATAATTAAACCCCACCTTAATAAATAGTCCTTTTGTTAAAATAAAATTACCCTAATTTCAATATGCTGTTTTCCTTCTGTGACCTTGACTGGTTCATATGGGAAGCCTCCGTAACATGATCAAATATTGTGATATATCAATGAAGTGCATAGATAAAGAAGGAATAGCTGGTCTTTTGTCTGAGGTTCCTGGCGCAGAGCTGCAAAAACCCTTGGAATTTCCTGAGTTATAGGAGTATCTTTGTTATGCTAATAGGGTGACTCATGGTGGGTCCCTAGATAGCTTCAGGATGGGGTCTGGTTTCCCAAGACCAAGTGGGTGATTAAAGGGTTGGGGACTTTGAGGTAGGCTGACCTCTATGACCTCCAGGAAGCAGAGACGGGCTAGAGACTGAGTTCAAGCACATGGCCCATGATTTCATCATTCTTATCTAAGTTATGAAACCCCAGTAAGAAGTTCGGTGGAGCTTCCTTGTTGGAGACTACGTTAATGTGCCTGGAGAGTGACATGCGTTTACCCTACAAGTTTCCTTTTTTTTTTTTTTCTTCTTTTTTGTCAGCAGCAAATCTTTGTTTTTGCTGCTAGCAAAATGGTCTGGATTATCCTACCTAGATCTGTGTAGCTAAATCCTAGACACTGCTGGCGAGGCAAATAGTGGTGAGTACTTTTCAAGGATGAAATCTTGATGTGCTGGTAACCAGTCAGTCCTTGGCAAAAGGCAAAATTTGTTGTAGTTTCTTGGCTCCTTTTGTACTTACTTATTCTGATAAGAAATCTTACCCTCTTTTATAAACAGGTTTACTTTGCTTTTATTCTTACTTTCATTGTATTTAAACATGTTTACTCTAAGGCATAAATCTGCTAGGCAGTGCATACAGGGAGCTATTCATTTCATTTCTATGCAGATTTGTCTTTTTGGCAAAATATAGTTCTTTCTAGTATTTGGGCCATGTAGGCCAAGTATTGTATTGTTCTCTCTTCTAGAATGAAAATAGATGCACATATTCTTTGCAGTGTGTTTTCATATTGAGTTCACTGAAATCAACTGCTTTACATTTCTGTTTAGCACTCTGGAATTTTAAAAATACTTTCATGGTTTATCAGCCGTGTAAGACAGGGTAGGTGGTTGTTGATATTGTATAAAGAAATTGCAAATTAAAGATTCTAAGTGATATAGCTAGACTCTAGTAGCTGGAGGATGGGTTGAAAACCCAATCTTTGGCTTTTTGGCTCCATTATTTTTCTGCCAACCCACCATGCCTCTCTACTTAGAACTCAACTAATCTTAAAGTGATTGTTTATGTTGAAGAAGTTGGGGATATGTGGTTTTTTTATATTGATTCTGATGTGTCAAATCATAGGGTTGTTTGATTTTTTTCCTACCAATAATTGTAGAGATTTATGAGAGGGGAGCTCATAATTCTAGCTTTTGCTATCACAGTAATTGATGACTGTTAACTCACAGCCAGGTTCGTTTGCTCAGAATTATTTATCTGGTAAGTGGATTTGTCCCAGGCCATGCTGGCCAGTGTCAGGCAATGCAAGATGACTGGACTTGAATGCATCAGAATTTTGTAATTAGAGTTTGTCTAAATAAAAATGATGAAGCAAACAAAGCTGAAATGTTCCCACCCCTATTAATAAGTTACTGTATTCCCAAGAATTTAAGTCAGAAACCAGAAGAAATCTTTCTCTTAAATAAAAGCATGTGGATCTAAGTAATTTCTTGTCAAACTTTCATGGTATATTTATAGGGGAAAAAAAAGGGAATTGTTATTCGTTGAACAGCATGTACTTGTTTCTTTACATGACTAGCTATTTCAAGCCTGTCAAATCTGCAAAGTCTGTATTATTGGCCCATTTTACAGATGAGAACATTGAGGCTCAGGGTGATCAATTTCTACTGATGACAGAGCTCAAATTTGAAAAATGTGTTCTCAAATCAAACTTCATGCTTTTTC